ATTCTGAAATAAGCAGTTTTCAAAAATATTTCAAAAAAAGTCTTACAATACAGAATAATTCTAAATTAATACTTTATGATGCCAAATTTACCCATCTCCTAAATTAATACCCCTAAATATCCTAATTCCTATACCCTGTGATAAAGCAATTGTTCTCTCCATAGCATTCCAGACCTTTGCAGATGGGTATTGGCCCTCGATGTCGGTGACATTGCACAATTTGTTCTTAAACAAATGAAATCCCTAATTCACAAAACTTGATTTTGTGACTGAAAGTCTGAAACAAACCCAATATCCTTTTCTCATTCAATACCCAACCCAAGACAATGTGTAATCACAAAATCACCTCAAACCCATCTAATAAAAACTGCAAATTGCCCAAAACCATAAATTTCAGAAGAACAAAAATTCAACAACTAATTAAAGACAAGAAAAAAAGAACTATTAATTGGGAGGAAATTTAGGGATCTTAGTTGGGGAGTAGGGGCAAGTTTGATATCACATGGTATTAATATGAGATTATTTTGTTTTTTAATACTTTTTTTTGAAATATTTTTAAAATCTCCTTATTTTGAAATAATTTTTCTGAACCCACCCTTTTTACAAATAAAACTTATATAGTTTTTAATATTTTATTATCGTAAAATATATAAAAATATTAGGGTGTTTATCAATTTAATTGATTAATAACATTTTTAAACTAATTCAATTCGTTATTATATTATAATCAAACCAATCTAATTTAGATTGGATTGATGTGGTTCAATTAGATTAATTGATTTTTAATATTATTTTAAATATATTTCATTAAGTAAAAATTTTGAATATCAAATTGTAGAAAATACAATTATAAAACACACTTACGTTATATATAACAGAATGATAGCACAAATAAAACAACCAAAACATGTAAGCCCTAGTTAAAGCCACTTAAGATGGTAAAGAGTTTTAAGAGTAGAGTTTTTATTTTATAAGAGATAATTTAGAGTTACACAATCTTTTAATTAAGTTAATTAAGTTGTATTGTACTTTAATTCATCGAAAAAAATTAAGTTATATTGTATAATTATAAAATAAAAGCAAAATAAAAAATAGATAGCCAATATAATTATTATTATAGTACAACAATTAAAAAATATATATTATAGAATTAAGAAAAGTACAACAAGAAAAGAAAAATTTAAAATATGATTTGTATACAATTTGTTAATTATATTTCTATTTTACCAATAAATTCAAAAAATATATTTACCAAAATAAATAAAAAAATAAAAAAATTAAATTATTTAATTGAATTATTTTGTAATTAGGTAGATTAATTAGTTTGAAGATAAAATCACAAATTAAATTAATCATATTAGTTTTAAAATTTTATAATTCAAACTAATCTAACTAAATATTGGTTTGAATTAGATTTTAATCAAATTTAATTGGGGACAATTGAATTAATAAATTTAAATTAAATATAAACAACTTAAAAAATATTATTAATTAAAAATACTAAACACATTTTTAATTAAAATTAATTAATTAAAATAAATTTATATCTTTAAATAAAACGTCATGTAAAAAGTAGTGTACCACAACAATTCCAAACAAAGCTCAAGTCTTCTACCAACTTGCTTTACCATTTTTAATAGATTTCAACTGAATAGAGAATATCCTTGAAGGGAGGGCTATTGACGGGGAGGGGATTGGATGAGATACCTTTAAATTCTCTTAGTACTCGAATTTGATTTGACCTTGAAGTTTAGTAAACCAATCCAACTCATTATCAAGTTATTGAGCCTAAACACAATAGAGGAAATCCTTCAAGGGAGGGCTATTGACGGGTAGGGGATTGGATGAAATTCCTTTAAATTCTCTTAGTACTCGAATTTGATTTGACCTTGAAGTTTAGTAAACCAATCCAACTCATTATCAAGTTATTGAGCCTAAATTATTATACATTATTTTTTTATATATAAAGTTATTATTTTTTGTTTTAAAATATTATTTTTATTTAATTCTGATTTTATTTTAAATTGATTATTATTTTTTCATTTTTAGGATAGATAATTTTTTTTACTTTAATGTTATTATTATCTATTTATTTTAATTAATTATTTTATTATAAAAAATTTTACTCTATCTTTTAATTTTTTTAAATATATAAATAAATACATAAATTATCCTTAAATTCTTAATTTTAAAAAAATTCATAATTATTTTGAGACAAAGAAATTATACAATATTATGATTTTAAGTTAGTTTAACTATTGATTGTGTGTCCGATGGGTTTTCGTAAGTGTGAGGAAAGGCTTCCCATCCCTATGCCAGCTAATGGCGAGGTAGGTATACTGCACGGATTTTTGTCGTAAATTTTACCTCATTTCTATTACTTGCAAGAGGTTAGTTTAACTATTGATTGTGTGTCCAATGGGTTTTCGCAAGTGCGAGGAGAGGCTTCCCATCCCTGTGCCAGCTAATGGCGGGGTAGGTATACTGCAGGGGTTTTTGTCGTAAAATTTACCGCATTTCTATTACTTGCAGGAGGTTTTACATTTGGGGGACAAAATGGGTTAAGATTTAAATTTTTTTGTGATTGTGTTAAGATTTAGATTTTTTAGAGTTTAGTCCTTGGGATATTAGAGTTTTTTTTCTAGAGTTTAGTATTTAAGGTGTTAAAGAATAGATTTTTTGATTTTTTTTTTTTAATGAATGACCTAATGGTCCAAGTAAAAAGAGTTCGATTTCTTTCAAACAAGATTTTAAGTTCGAATCTTATGAATGGAAAAACAGGCGTTAAGAGAATTTTTTCCTTAATGAGATCTGACGTGACTCGATTCCGGATTAATTGAGTTTCAATGTAATTACCGGATACTAAGAGGTTAGTATTAAAAAAAAGAATAAATTTTTTAGGATTGAATATTTAAGATGTTAGGGTTTAAATATTTTAGGATTTAGTTAAGATTTAGGGTTTAAATTTTTTAAGGTATAATATTTATGATGTTAGGATTTAAATTTTTAAGATTTAAGGATTAGCTTTTTAGGGATTATAATTTATATTATTAGGCAGTTTAGGGTTTAATAATTAAAAAATTAAAAATTATAAGACTTACAAGTAAAAATCAAAAGCTAAACGTACCCTAAAAGAAAAAAAAAAACAAAACAAAACAAAAAAAATGGCTATATCGGTCTTGGGACAGACTTTAGACTTGATTGAGACCTGGTTTCACAACATCCTTTTCGTTGCAGTTGTAAATTTTTTGAATTTTTTATATTTTAAAAACATATAAAATATAT